AGAAAGTTTTCTAGGCTTGGTTCTGTGAGCTTCCTGGGTGTCCCTCATAACAATGTGAGAGGTACTGCGTTGGCGCGCCCTCTTGTGAGTCAGGATGGACGCAAAAGGGGCGACGCCAAAAATCAGGAGCGTTTGATGACACGAGTGTGATCACATATCAGATTTTCAACGACGAGTACAGTCGACTCCGGTTATTGTGAAATTCTGAGGAACTACATTTTTAATTCGCTATCAGAGGTTCACTACATACGATGACGTCAAAATTAAATAGAATTACTCCACAATGATATATTTCATTAATATAGCGATATATCTGAATACATTAACAGCACGAATTAAAAATTTCAACATCTTTATTTGACCTTAAAAATCAATTATTTTCAGTCGTTTGCTTGGTACATTTTTCATTAATAATTTCTCTTGATCTTTCTCCGGAGTTCGTGCTCTCACCACAATTGATTCTGCATTGTCCAGTGCCTCTTAAGTTTCGTAACATCCCTGACATCCTTCAATGCCTCTTCCACTGTTGGAACACCGTCCCACTCTTCAAAGGTCCTGTTACTCGTCAAATTACATACGGGATCCTTTTGGTAGCGACATGGAGCAAAAGGCTAATGAAACTGATTTCGCGCGGCGGATGCCGGCAGGCTGTGGAGCTGAGGCGCTCGCGCGCTTCTGTCGCCTACGTAGAACAGCACGCGCTTCGCCGTGCAGAATCTCAAGTAACATCAAGCTTGGAGCTGAAGTTTATCAGTCGCGCGCCGCCGCCGCCGTCAGTTGTAGCCCACGCAGGACACGGTCTTTGTTTCTGCAGTGAAACTGAGTGGCACAAGATCTCCATTCCGGGACCGCGTTCTCCAGCTGAGGGGAGACCTCCGCGATTATGACCTTCGGCCGCAGATATTTTTTTTAAGCTGCCTAATGCAATTTGTGACACTGAAACTATGTTTTTTTTTCGTTTTTTTCAGGAGGGAATTAATTTTCATGACGTATTTCCTACGTACACTATAGCCGAGGTTGAGCGTTTACTATAACCGAATATTCTTGTACTATGTGAAATGTAGTGAAACAGGATTAGAGTCTTAAGTTCTCTATATCCCGAGTTCACTACAACCGGAGTCTACTGTAACTAGTTCAGATATAAAAGTATGAAATTGGCTTTTAGATTTTACTATATCAGTTACTGAAAACTTTAGATTTACAGAGGATTATTCTGCAATGTGATAGCTCAAGAACAGAAAAGATCAATGAGGTAAATGGTTTTTGCAAACATCTCTTTCCAATAACATTTTTGTAGCCCTCAATGTTCACTGCAACTATCTCTTACTCTAGCAACATGACCAGTTCACAATACCGTTAAAAAAAGAACTGGCCTCTATCTCGAAAGAGGAAAAGGAGATTCCTGCTAATCTAATGATTGAAAATGAAAAATAAGATACGGTGAGTGATCCAGCACTAGGAATATCCTGAAGCTGCACAACTGTTGATCACACAGCAAATATTCTCATTTTTCATAACTGACTTTTCATATTACATACGCCTTCGCCTGGCAAATACGTTTACAAGAATGACAAGAAATTCCAAATTATACTTTATTTTTAGTATTCGAGGTGAAACATCTACAATTGAAACTGCAAGCCTCGGTGCCATTTGGCCCCTCCATCTCCGCTTCGCCCCTCGCCCTGTGCCGTTACCGCGAGAGCAGTCGGCAGAACAGCGGTCGCTTCCGATGTATGATTGTCCTTTACCGCCCTCTGCTGGCGGAGTTAAGAGAGGTGTCACACGAAGTGTAGCAAAGGTTTAGCGCAGATAAATAAACTACAAGGAGGCGTTCGAAGGACACAAGATTTACAGGAAGGAGACTTGCAAACTGTGCGCGTGAAGCTCTTGAATAAATTGTTATATTCTTCACCGAGCTCATGTTTTTGCATACGTGTGAAGTACCCTTCCTCGAAATATAAAATTCGGAATTTATTGTCTTATACAATTATGTAAACAGCTTGTTGCGTTATGCCTTCGCTTTTGTTTTGGGCATTTTAATTTTTTTGAAGGACATCACAGCGTTAATTATATATTAAAGAAGAGTTAAATGCCGTTTATATTGGTAACAGGTGTGAAAGTTAAGTTCTGAAATTTATTCGAAAATCAAGATTTGGCTACATTCATATGTCACTAAATCGGCGCAGGAATTTTTGGATATGTCTCGAAGACTTTTTCCGTTCATATGATGAATCTATTCGCGGGCATGCGTATGAGTACATGCACTTTTATAACACGTATGCTGTTTCTAACACTTTTCTCGAATAAAGATGTATTATTTTATCAAAGCAGAGGATGTAATAGATTGATCCATACGTTCAATGACTAAATCATCGCAAGTAGGATCACATTAAATGAATCAGGGGGGTGAGGTTGTACGTTAATATGTGAATGATATTCATTAGACTGAAGATATTAGTAAATTATATTTTAATACTATTTTCTATGCATTAATTATGATATAACGTTCCTCACGTACAATGACACTTCGCTGTACGGACGAATTAATGGAACAATCGTAATTTATTCGACAGCCTCTTCTCGCGTTTGCTCTCGCCAAGAAGTGGTCGTTTCGCATGAACTAACACGCGGTGCCGTGGTAGCTGGACATCAAGGCAAGACGCCCCACTTCGCCAATGATAAACAACTCGCGCGTTCACACGCATCATCAGAGCTGTCCACGCGCGCCTTTCACCAGACGCATTTCCATCATGTGTGCGAGAACGAGAGGTTAATTAATGCTTTACGGCAGAACGGAAGAATTCAACTGTCACGGAATTTTCAGCCGTTATAATAAGGTTCATTGTTAAATTAATTGGATTTATAATGACTTGCAAACTTCAAACAGGAATTTTAAATTTAATTCCATGTAAACTTCAATTGAAAAAGTCGTTTCCTATATCTCCCGTGTAATGTGATCTGATACGGTCAAATGAAGGTCATAAATGAAGCAAAGGGTCGGTTGTTCTCCACAACCTCTTCTGAGCGAAATCTCTCTTACTGCACACCCACTGCTCGTTCCTTCGAGTTGAGATTTGTGGTCCCAGGCGCCACACGCCCTTCCGAAGAGTTCGCATCGACCCCCCCCCCCCCGTGGAGGGCAGAAGCCCGCGCGCGCGCCCCGACGATTGCACCCCGCATACAACATTCACTTAACCATTACCTATGCATCCTATTCAATTATTAACGCTTTTCCCTACAAAACTTCTGGTTTTCCAGTTGATATTGATGACAGGGCGCCCCGCTTTAAAAAAAAAGGCCCCAAGGAAACAAATACCACTACGAAAAAGAATGTGCATAAAATGCAAAAATAAATGCTCGCTCAGTTCAGACCCATTCTGTGCGCTGCATGTGGTTGAATGCAACCCGTCGAACAGAGTCGCTACAACAGGCGGTAACGACGTCCTTTACCATCCACATCCTACCAAGGGCTCTAAGAACGAACTGCTTGCAGAATGAACTAGCGGGGCTACATAATAGCAGCTACTTTCTCTTACTAGTTCGTTTCCTTACCTGGTTAGTCTGGACTATATTTTCGATTTTGACCAAACCTCTTCTCAGCTTCCATCTATTGACGCCTAAAGAGCATTTCCCGCCCCCATTTTTCCCGTCCCCTAATAGTAACAGTGAAATATGACATAAGAATATCATAGAAGACTAAACCTAGTTCTATAAGTAAATTTTCGTTGAACAATTTGGAGCCGTTTTTCAGAAAATGTTTGGGAGTTTCTGAAAACTTCTTGAAGCTAATTCTCACCAAAAACTTATGAGTTTTTGAGCAACTTCATTGGAAATAATTTGAAGAAATTTTACTCACAAATGCCACAATGTTTAGAAAATGCGCGAAACATAAATACTGACGTGAGAAATATTTAAAACTAGGTTCCACAACTGCACATAACTTCTCAAATTATTTCTACCCCCCCTGTGTTACTCAACATAAACAGGCAAAAATGTTTTCGACTACAAAAAAATTGTTTGCACCGAGACTCGAACTCAGAAGCTCCAAGTTAAGTCGCTGCGAGTTTTACCTCTACGCCATAGAAACGCTATGAATTTCGAACTCGGATCGACGCTTAAAATGTAATTGTTTCAACCCAATATTTCCAACAAGCAAATTTCAAAAATTTAGAGAGATCAACAAAAATTTACAAAAAACATGTCTAGCCACTTTCGAGAAAATGACCGTTAGTGTTTATGAAAAGGGGGAATTTTGAGCTGGTTTCGGGAAACTTAAGACAATTTTTAGCACTTGCAATTATAACATTAACAACGGGAAAGAGATTTGAAAAATGTTATATTTGTGTTTAATTTTTGAAGAAAAAAAACCAGCAAAATGGCATTACAGAATGCAGCAAAATTGCGATTATGTCATCTTATACAGTGCATTTAGCATAGACTCTGCAAAAAGTTTAAAGTAACATTTTAGTCGTTTTGGGGAAATATTTTCAAAAGTATTATTTATTATTGTCCATACTTCACATAAAATTACGGGAAAACATAATATTTTTTTTAGTGTCGTTAACAGAACGACGGAGGGACGGAGGGACGGACGGGCGGAAGGACAGATGGACGGACGTTTTGGAGAAAAACAACACTTTTTTGGAATCAGGGATCCCCAAATCCTGTATTTATCCGATGAAATCTCGAAGTAGATGTTCCGCAGCATTATAACTCTCAATACTACGTATCTACGTACCTACACGAGAAAGTAAAAATTGACGGCTAAACACATTTAAATATCTTTCCAGTTGTCATATCACGGGAAATAACATCTACAGAGTTATTTCTATGTATTGCACATTTGTACTCATTAGAAATAGTGTCCTAGCTCGAAACCATTGGCACTTGTTTACATACGTAAATGTATTTCCAAACTTGATTTTTTTACAGGAAGAGGTACGAAGACAACTTACACGCGTAAACTATAAGATCGGCATATTAATTATTAAAGAACTTACCTCTTTTCAATTTCAACGTGATAGGGTCCGCTGATAACCGAAGGCATTTCAAAACTGGAAAAGAAAAGGTGAAAATGTCACTAATAATTATTTTCCACATTTATTACGGTCATACATGTACACACTTCCAAAAAAAAGGTAGGTGCTTACATAAAAACCCACAAAATGTCGCAAAGAATCACTTGTATAATGATGGGTAATAAAATATTACCAAATTATGTATATGTAAAAGTACGGTAAAAATACACTCTGGATTGGGCTGAGTAATCGCTTAAATCCCAATGCGACAGTCTCCACTTCTATGCCAAGTAAAGGAAATCCAGAAGCAGTGTCCCCATGAGCAAGCGCCGTGAGTCAGTTCATCCTCTTCTTTCGTCACGCTCGAACTGCTCTCACAAGCACGCCGACTGCTACGAGCAGACGCATTCTCCTCAAACAACCACATGCATGCGTCGCCAAGGCAACCAATCAACGATTCGCGCCACGCCCATTCAGTACTCACGAGAGAATGGCACCACGATCCCTAGCTGCATTTTGCTTTCTCGTATCTATTCCTCAGATAAGAGAAACTTAATCTCGTGTATTTTATAAACTGTGACGTACGGGGCAGAAGTATAATATGTAGATGTTCTCTTGAGCTGCAGAATCCCTTCCCCACACTTATTTTACGATGTTGAACAAAAGTATCAAGTGAGGTTAGAACATTTGAAAAACTAGTGGTAAAGCGCGGCATTCCGAAACTTTACCTCCTGTTCGTGTTATAACTCAAATTACTCAAGTATTTTAAAAAAGTGCATGGTATCATTTAAAGATCTACAATTTTAATTAATTTATAAAGAAAACATATAATGCACAAGAATCAATAAAGTTGAAAAATGGCTTACAAAGTTTCAACAATTTTATCTTCAAATTTCGAACAGCAAGAATAATTGGCAAAAATGAGATGAGTAGGATATATATTTACACTCAATCACATTGAGATTTTCATAATTTAATCACTAATATGTATCATTGTGCATCATCTGTAATGATGAACGCAAGAACAGTAATATGTGGCTTAGCTTTTCTGCCTCCAAACGTCATCACAACACAGACTTCGCTTGGATGTATTGTGAAAAATCAAGCGAACGGCGCACGGCTGTGTAGAGAGCTCAATTACTTAAATTTTGTATTTTTGTGGGTTGGTCGCATTCTGCAAACCTTCATTCAATTGATGGAAAAATTGTATCGAGGAAGAAAATTTCTTGAATGTGTGTGTTGAATGTGTGTGGATATGTTATAAATATATTTAATAAAATTCAGTGTAATTACCTATGTCTTCTTTGTAATTAAGTATTATTATTATTATTATTATCATTATTATTATTATTATTATGTGCAGTGCAGTGGCGTGAAGTGCAGTGACGTGGTGCAACTGAGGGAAACGAGTGAGTAAGAAAGACATTATAGCTCGCTGTATCGCAGTGCGGTGAAGTGTGGTGAAGTGAAGTTTGGTGAAGTAGTGTTCTATGAAAGATTGCACGGTGAAATGTTCATGTGATTTTGTAACGTTTGTAGAGTTTGTATAGTTGTTAAGTTCTGTAATGTTAAGTTAATGTATTCTGCCACCAAGTTCTCACACTTAATTGCAGAATTATTAATAAATCTAAAAATCTCTGGCTTTAGTAATGGAAGAATAGGACAGATTCGAAAATACTTTTGACCTAGCTGAACCCGTGAGATCACATCAAAGTAAATGAGTCATAGAAAAGTTCTACATATTTACTATAAGGAAATTCGAAAACTCCCCAACCCATTGTTACTTGTCATTTAGTATTTAATCTCGAAAACGTATTAAATGAGTGCTCACGGAACTATACACATACTTACAATTTGTCTGATACACCTGACACCCCGGCTACTAACTGTACAAATTAAATTTCAACTTGAATCACTCTGTGTAGCGCAACAAACCCAATTGTATTAAGTTGTTAGAGCGCCTACGCCGGCCAAACCAGCCTGCGCGACCACTCTCCATCCCAGCGGGCTGGCTGCAAACCACCCCTCCCCGTGTTTCAAGCAACCGACCGCTGCATCAAGCTACGCTCCACGGATGTGGCTTTTAATTGGCTGCAACTTCCCGCCTGAAGAATATTATTTATATCTGCAGTTCTTATCCTTATACTCGTAGATATTCTTATACATCCCCGAAGAATTGTATTTCCCATTTACCTGTCCAGAAACTATTCAAACTTACTGCATAAAATACACTTCGGTGACCAAAGTCGTAAGATATTTCCTAATATCGTGTCGGACTTCAATTACAAATAACTACGTAAGTAGTAAAATGCGACAATTATACCTTACTATGTTATTCTTTCAATACACCACTTCTGAATCACTTTATTCACTAAAAGTTATCTCCAAAACTTCACCTTCAATGGCTGCCATGTTCATGTATTCCACCTGGTCCAAACAAGTACATTGTTCAACAATTATCTTGTCGTGGTAACCAATTCCAACGCAACCACCTGACAAATCTTAAGCGAGCTAATACAAAAAATTGACATTCAATAATAGTTGCACAAATTTAACAAAATGTTATAAGGCAAATTATTTAGAGAACGCTTAAATTAACGCGCTTGTTTACTTTTCGTTTTTGTGCAATAGATTTTTTTATATTTTTCGGGCCCCACAAATCCTGGTCGAAATCAGGCTCTCGGAATATCAGAGAGAATTGAACTTTTTTCATTGATGGATATTTCCAGTGTCTTATCTATTGTCCATAGTTTTGGGGAGAATATTTGGTTGGAATGTTTCCACAAATTCACCATTTATAGTTCCCATATACTCAAACACATGGATTTTCCAAAAACCACAATTAAAGACACATTGAAGTTTTTTACGTATTACCGAACGCATTAAACAATGAAGTACATCTATAAAGTAAATTTTAACGTGAGATATTTTTAAAAAAATGGTGTAAGTTTTGAAAAATACAAAAAATCAGAGTAGCATTGATAAATATACCATCCAGAGAATGTAACACTATTCGTACAAAACTTTGAAGAAAAAATTACTAGCCGTTTTTGAGTAAATCTTGTTTAATTTATTGCCCATATACAACAAAAAATTGCTCGACAATTCGTGTTTTTGTGCCACAAAATTGGTCATTTTCGACGTATTTTCTCTTTAGTACGTTAATATAGTAAGTCGAAAAAGTAAAAATAATGTCATTTTCTCTTAAATATATTCTCAGAAAAATCTTTCAGAAAGAAGAAATTTGAGAGCGAGAACCACATTTTCAAGTATTGTACTTCCCGTAGAGGCCTGCCCAGTCAATGCGTACTCCTACAGCAGTGAAATATCGCAGTGTACGAAGACGTGTTCCACCATGGAGAGGTAGATCGTACGTGTCGCAGTTACTTCACAGGAAGAAGCCACGAGAAATATGGCCAATGGTAAGTTACCTCCAATTACTTCCTCACGCCCAGCAACCCAGGTAGAAAACTTGGATTTTACAGTTCTTAATCGCACTGATCTTGAAAGTGGTTTTATGGTTAGAAACTTTTCAGAAATGTCTCCAAACGTAATGAGGGAACGAAGGGAATGTCAATCCACCAGACTTCCGAGTAGCTGGTTTCGCAGCCTGATTATGCCTACTCATTACCAATGAAGCCACTACAACACGTCTTGGGACTGACTAAAGATTGGAGAAAATACTGGCGAGACAAAAGGTGATGAAATAGACGTATTCTTCTCGTCAAGATGAACCGGATTCGATGTATGTTTTGAGTCTGGAGCCGCGAAATTATTGGCAGAGAACAGGCTGTAGAATGAGTGAATTCGAGTAGCTGTTCTACAATAAAATGCACAAGCAACTGGATCGTAGATGGCTTTTACTGTCAGTGATAAGGCGAGGTTAGGAGAGGCTGCTCTCAACTCACGGAAGAGTTTCAGGTATTCTAAGAAGGATAGTAGAGAATTTAAGGAGATTGCGTGGTTTCGTATATTAAGGGACGGGGTGGGGTAGATACGTCAAGTTCATTAAATTTCGGGAATGTTCACGAAATTTTAATTTCAAAACGTTATTACCGGAGTAAATTAAAGTTAAATAATAGAAGAACTTTAATGTACAAAGTAGCATTAATGAATTATACCGTGTTTTAATGGCCAATGGAACATGGACAAAAGAGCTGGAAAATTTATAAGGCAACAAAAAGTCTTGGGGAAAAACAAACAAAAAACATCAACAACAGGTAAGTCACGTTCTCTGGTCGTCATGCAGTCTTTTGTAAAACAATTCTGCTATTGAGCTACAAAATTTCATTAGGCACGTAATGTCCTTGAATTTGGCTTTTAAAATAGAATGAAGTCCTGCTTAAAAATATAATTCAGTAGATATCGGGTTGATTAGAAGTTAACGATGCCCGTTCAGTAAACAAGTCACTAGAATGATCCTAGTCAATAGAATAAACTGAATAAATGAGTCAGGAGATTGAATCGTTCGCCTTGTGTTACGAACGGGTTATAAGACCTTCATGGCCCATTGTATCGTTTCTACAGGTAACGAATGTTATTTATTGGTGTTACAGCGCATTAGCGCATTTACAGCGTTTGTGCATGATATTCGTATTGTCTGATTCGCACTTCTTTTATTTTTCAATAGAACTGTTGGGTTTACTGTGATGGAGAATTTGAGTGCTTCTTTTTCATGATTTGCGCCGCGAAACAATTTTGAAAGCGATTCAGTGGTGTCAGTGTTGGTCTTTCAGCATCCCGACGTGTTTGCGAAAAGTTGAAAACAACTTTGACTCATCTTTATGCAAGTACACATGGGAAGGAAAGTCAGCAACGTTGAAATGATAAAAAAATAAATAAATAAATTATTATGAATCATTTGGACGTTACCACTCGAATGACTAGGTAAGTTTACTTTTTTATTCGTTTTGTGGTTTCGCGATAGTACATATGCTAATAAAACTGCAGGTCAGAACAGTACTATTTCCCTTTAAAAGAAATTCTCTTAAAAGTGCGAGTGAGGTTATAAAACCGCGAGAGCGGAGGTGCCACCAGGTCGCGAGAGCGAGGGCCGAAAGGCCCTTGCGAACGCAGCGCGTGGGATCGGTCGGGTAGCGTTGCGTTAACGCTGTAGACTACTTGGTGTCAAAATTCGTTGGCTATAACATTAATTTATAGCATGAACAATACGAACCGAAATAATCAGTTTATTGAATGAATGAAATACAAATAAACACAAAAATAATGTAGTTTGCATCATCAATAATTGTACATGTATTTGGTGTGTAAAAGTTTGCGATTAGGCGAAAACCGCTAATGGAGCACTAATAAAGTAGAATTGTAGTAATAATATTACTATTGAATTTTTGTAATGTATGCGACTTTTGTGTATAATGAATGTTTAAATGTACCGTGTAAATAATTGACTTGGGTCACACACAACCGCCTTTTTTCTTGTGAATAAATTTTTTCCAGCCCACGGGACCGGGCCCCGTAAACTGCCTATTTGGGGCAAACAATTTCGCTTTTGCAACTAATTCGTCACGCGTAGCACACGTATCCACGTTCAAAAGAAATATTGAACTTTGTGGGAACACGTACAGAAATATTATCCTGTATGTATCATAAGATACAATCTTGTTGGGGTGCAATTCTTTAAAAATTGAAACATTTTCTTTGTATAAGTTCTTGGGGTACATAGGTAAGTTTTCTTTTAGTCATGAAGGCTACATAACTTTGGCGACCTCTTAGAACATGTTATGTGGCTACATAGCAAAAATTCTGTCAATGCAGCAAGCTTCCTACATAACGAACTATGCCGCCTCCTATTACCGAGTGTGTTTGCGTGTGAGCGTGAGTGTGTTTGCGTGTGAGCGTGAGTGTGTATGCGTGTGAGCGTGAGTGTGTATGCATGTGAGCGTGAGTGTGTATGCATGTGAGCGTGAGTGTGTATGCATGTGAGCGTGAGTGTATGTGTGTGAGCGTGAGTGTGCATGCGTGTGAGCGTGAGTGTGCATGCGTGTGAGCGTGAGTGTGCATGCGTGTGAGCGTGAGTGTGTATGCGTGTGTTTCGATTTTCATTAAAACCTTTGAAATTTTGAGAATTGTAAAAGTTCAAATGTATTTTCGAATCTTTTTCACACCTCCAATATTAAGCCGGAAACTTCTTCCTCAATGAAATTTACTCCCAATATTAGAACTTTAAAAGAGATCACACATTTTTTGAATTAGTCGTTGAGTAATAACCAGGGCTAGGATTGTAAGGACATGTTACAGTTGCATTAGTACATTCTACACATTGCCAACTAGTACATAAATGTTTATCACTACATATACAATTGTGGCCAAATTATTAGACTAGAGTTACTGAATAAGACAAAATGTATTTGCGACAATAGATATTGATACTTGTGTACAGGGTTCAAATGTTTTATAAACGATTCGTAATTAACTTCTGAGGTATCTTGAAAATCAATTTAAATCGATTATTTCAATTTGAGTGTAATTTTGCAAGATGTTAATGAGTTATTTTATGACCTGGTTTTTATGACCTTCTTTCCTTAAGTTTCTTTTAACTATCGAACGAACATTTTCGATGGGATTCACGTCAGGACTATTTGTAGCCCATTGGAACCCACACTGATCAATGTCTTGATGTTTTCGAACTCTATTTTCCTGCTGTAATATGGAACGATGTCACTGTTTTTTTTTCTTCAATCAACTCATCTACGTGGGGGAACCAATGGTTCTTTAAAGGCTCCTAAGTACTGGTTGAGCCTCATTGTATCATTAACTGTCTAGACATTTCCAATAAAATTAACACACATATTTCAAACAGTTACGTTTCTCAACAGTTTCTCAGAACTCATTATAATCCCTTGTCAGAGTAACAAAATATTCAGTCTAATGATTTGACCACCTCGTTACGTAATATAAATGTATAGTTATCAAGTAATTTTTGTCATTATGTTGCATTTTTGCAATTTGTAGGCCTTTTTTTGGACCTTTTGTTCATTTTTACACATTTTGTTTCTTTTCCTTTTTTAAAAATGAATGTTTCATGAACTTAGAATGACAGACCGAAACAAAATGTTTGTTGATTCATCAGTTCATGACGAAATTCACTACTGCAGTGAACGGTTTTTCGAACTCGGCCTTTAAACTGATGGTTGGGAGATAGAAGCTAAAGGTTATATTTCCTTCTAAAATAAAAACTCAATAATAAGTAGAATTTTATATAAATAAATTTTATTAAACATTGTAAAATTAATTGAATACATAAACATTGATAAATCTTTTTTAGTATTTTTTTAAAAAATAGGTTATTTTCCCTTATTATTAAGTCTCTTTTGTCGGTCATAGTTCTCTTATTTCTAAGGTATTTTATACATAATTTTTAAAGAAGTTTTTGGTCGAGTCTAAGAGGCGTAAACCTTTCAAAAGGCTTCGCATTTCTCCTAGCTTAATAAATAATTTTACAAATATAATTTCGTTCACATAATATTATTCGTAAAACGAAATTTAGTTAATTTATTTCAAATACGTAATGAAACTTATTTATACCTTCCTTTTGGAGAGAAGGCAGACATCATTCTGTTGTAAAAAAAACATTTAATTCTAAATGGGGTACATTAACATGATAGAAACATTATTTTGGCATACCTTCATTAACATTCTCAAAAATAAAATTTAGAAATAATTATGTTTTTTAATGATCAAAAGTAGAATCTAAGTATTCATTCTCTCGCCATTAATGCAGACTAGTGGCCTCCCACAAGTCGGAGGCTACCGATGCTGACAAGACCCTGAAGACGCCTAAATGTAAGAAGGGAAAAGGGGAAGCGAACGGAGTTGTACGAGGATGTTGGGGGAAAGCTGGTGGCGCCCAATCCATTGCGTGAGCGGCTGTGAACACGCACATTAGTGTTTAGGCGTGCACGTCCCCACCCCGAGACCAACGCCGCAAGGACCCTCGAGGGGCTACTGGAGCGCAGAAGAGAAGTGGCGTGTCAAAGCGCTCGAGCAATAAATGCCGTTCGCACTCGTGATGATTCAAACTAATCAAAGCGATGACGCACGGAAATCTTTTTCGAAAGAACGAAACTTAACTCGCGACATGTCCCAAACTCTTCACGTGTCTACAGAGGGCCAACGGAAAGTAATCCATGTTATGGGATAGGGCACATCTCTCGCATGACCTGGGAGGGGCTGGGGCAAGTCGCGTGGACGCTCTGATTCGTCGTCCATTGTGCTGGCGTTACGTCTCCTCCAGAAAGGACGCAGCGCGCCTTCCCGCAATGGCGGCTGAAGGCGCAAGGGCTTCCCTTCCACACAAATGTTGAGAAGCAAATGAAGCACTTACCTTCTTTTGTGCTAAACCTGTTGACGTCAGTCTCGTTCACTTTCAGGATAACGTCCCCGGCCTCGACCTGCGACACAGAGAACACCACTTGATATCTTTGCAATGGACTGCTCCCTTCCCCGCACCCAACTCAACTTTCATGTTCATTCAATGTTGATCTAAAAATCACTCAGACGATCCGGGTAGCAACGGGTGCCAATTCGGGATTCCCAAAAAGACTTGGGTTAGCGTGACGCCTTGGGCATGGGTACTGGTGCTTGTTAATTCTCCTTTCATAAAAGTATCTCTTCACCCATAAAGCATCTCTACCGCTAGCAATCGACCTTAACAAGGAGCGGCGCTGAAGAGCGCGCACCGCGAGCCACAGGACGAAACGTTCCTAAGTAGCTTTACAATTTTCACTCTTTGAAAATATACTAATACATATTAAACGAATTAACACAGCTCCGTATTAAAACTTCGTCGCTTTCAAGTTTTGAAAACATGACCTACAATACACCATTCAATTTCAGAAATAGTTCGAATGGAAAACTTAGTACTAAAAATTAAATTTTAGCATACTGATGGCTAAATGTTAACAAAAACGTATCTCCGAATTTGTCTTTTGGAGATGTCACCCGAAAGATAAGATCCATCAAAATCTAATGATACGTACTAAAAAAATAAATAGGAAATTTGTTGTAAAATGATCACATTTTTATTACTTCTTTTGAAAACTTTACTTTTTTTTAGGAGAGCGGAAAACGTAATGACAGAAGTGCAAGTTAAAATTTAGCCGTAGATGTAAATAGACAGTGTAAACAAGCAGAATGGCATTTAAATATACACTTACAACACAAATCCGTTTGAATAAGGTCAAAGTATTAAACGATTACTTATTACTATGCCATCCTAACAGGATTTTCCTGTCCATAACCAGAGGACTGATACGTGAAATAGCGTTCTATTCAGACAGCGGAGAAATATTATTCATTACCATGAAAATATTTACTTTCTATAGTTATTTAAAGTTTAACACGTGGTGCTACAATATCCTATACGTTCTTACATTATTCGTAACTTTTGCATTTTTCAACAATTTAGAGTTCAAAGAATATTACAACTGTGCCATATTAAAGCGTCCTTTGTTACACCGAGAAAAAAAAATTAATCCAAAGTTTGGAGCCACTATTGAGAAAATTTTAAAAATATACCAAAGGATACATGTAAAATACCTCAAAAATCAAATTACCCATTTCAAATTCCAATGGCTTTGAATTCGGTAAATTCGACTGGGGAATATTTGTCGATTTAGGCCTTTGGGTTGCTCACAGTCTGAGACAGACCGAGGGACGGATCTTTAGTCCTAAACCAATTTTTCGGTATCAAGGACTTTAAGCGTGGATTCTGACTAAACAAGGTTTTAGAGAAGTAATTAAGTAAATATAGGAGCAAAATCCATCCATTTTTCCGGCATCAGGGCCAGACAATAGTACTTCTCACAAAGAATCGCAATTTTTTGCTGCAGAATTACAATACTTTGTCTTTGCCAGATACGTATGTAGTAGGCGAAAAAGTAAACAATATATTTACAACAAAATTAACATTTTTTTGTTTCGCGAATCGGTCATCATGGGCGATACGTGCCGATCTCACCGGGACTCAGCATTTAAATGCTGATTCCATTTTTAGATTCCAGATTTGTTAGCCCTGGAGGATTTGAGGAAATGATGATGATGATGAATGATACGAATAATAGACACGAACATACAGAGACACACATAACACAACCATGCCCGAGGCGGACTCGAACCCGCTATCCTTTGGTCAGAGACCGTTACAGCACTCCTGCCTCAACGATCTCGGCCATCGGATCGGCAAAATTAATATCATTACAGCAAGGTTGACAAAAAATACATCGACATCTTTTCTAAACTAAATAACATAAATAGTAAACCTGCACAAAATTTAGTTTGAAATCCGAGATTTTGATCCTATTACGTTTCCAACACTGTTCTTTTCTGCCTTCTGAGTTCCTTCAATCTCTTCCTTTCTACATATATTTCTTATTCCCTTGAATCGGGGCTAGTTTTCATGTATGCCACACACTTTTTTTCAGTCGCTTGTTACCGGCACCTAAGGACATACCAAGGTTTATTGCGGTACCTTACCGCTCCCTACGAGACATTCCCAGTGAAGAAGCCCATCGCATTCCCGGAACATCGCTCTGTATCTCGGTCCCTTTACATAATGGCCCATGGTATTCCATGGCCAACCCCGGTGCTAGTACCACTGTTCTGGAAGTATGCGTCCAGCTCCTCAATTACACACACAGACTGCACACAAAGTTGCCCGTCAGGCAAAGAGATTATGGGACGAAATGGAATCGGAATGCCCGCCTCACACACACACACATCACGAACACAAATTAAAACATAAACTACCTGGACCCGCGCAATTACATCGCACAAAAGAAAGACTTGTATAAAAGTTACAACAGAAAATAACTAGATACCCGGTACGGAAAATCGAAAACTGAAAAAAGATTGGGTCAATTCGTTCAGTAGTTATTTCTCACACTAAAAGATGGAGAGGTTTACAAATTGTGTAATAATAAAATCACTATTCATTGTGAACACAGAGTTACATAAACGTGTTTTCTGTAATTGAAATTCCAAGGTCTGCTTATGTAGGTTGGCGACTCTTAGAAGGAAATACTGTTACCTATTGTAACTTAGAAACTTAATGCATCACGAATAATTATAATCACTGCACATTTTTTGTAATACCCACGTCAAGCGATAGCTGGGCAGTGCGTTTATTTGCACTCGGTAATCTTGACCTTAAAAAGGCTCAATAAGTGTGAATTTGAAAATGTGGCACTTATACGTTGTCTGTTTTCGATAGATCACTTGCAACCCGCACAACAAAATGCCAAAACCACGAAGTATACTACTCTGATTAAAAACGGAGGGCGAATTGACAGCGATCTGCTCGGACGCGGTGAGTTAAAATCCCGACATTGATTTTCCCCAGCACTACATAACTTTCCCTACATTACTGCATATACTACGTATACAAGGAACTAGCATGTGACAAGTTAATGGAACTTTCCATATAAATGCACAAAATTATGAATGCAGAAGTCTATCTCCATAAAGTTGCAGCTGAGTCACTGCGCATTGAAACTACATCGGGTCTTGTAGCTATGATGATTTCGACACGAACGAAAAAACGATACATCTCTTTCAGAAAACTTTGTTGTGAAATCGTAGTCTTTCCCAATTCTACTTCGAAACGTCCTATGCATTCGCGACGAGACGTCTAATGCTTTGAACGACTTGAAGAAATAGGATAGCATAGAAAAAGGCAACAAAAAAAATCTCCAGAAAAGTCTTTAAAAGGTCTGCTCTCTTTACTGGTTCAAGCCTCTCCTTGGTACACTTTATATGACCCTTATGGTTTATACAAACTCATCCACCACACTAAGTCACCACATCCAAAGTGGAGCACCCTAAGGTAGCGTAATTGCCCCAGAGCTGCACTTTCATGCACGAAACAAAACAAAGGGATACAGCCAAAACGTGTTGCAATTTTGCCCATGTAAAAAGGATCTAATACACGAGAGAAAATATTTCTTTCTATTAGTTTCTGCTGAACACTTGTTGCCAAATGCTATTAGCTTTTGCCAAAACTGGTTCCATTACCTTTTTCACACACTCTGTGTTATCTTTATTCAGAACTACCCGCCCCCATGCCTGTGCTGGGGATTGTTCTGCCTGTATTGGGGAGAATTAAACTAATAGAATTCATGATTCGGTATCTCAATATGAATCACACAATGATGCTCTTTCTCCTTTTTCTTTTCATTTTCTTATTTCTTTTCTTACTTATTTCTTTTTCTGCTCTTTTATTATTTTTCTCTTACTCTGTTCTTCCCTTTCATTGTCTTATTCTTTTCACCTTACTTATTCTGTATATGTTCTCTTCTCGGTATACCCGCTAAATAGAGACACACATTACAGGGGCCGCTGCAACGCTAAACCTTAATGCATAAACGTCAAGCAGGTTGCCTAACAAAGCAATTGACAGGCGAATTTCTTTGCTTCACTAAATTCATCATATTACAGCAAATTAACGGCTCTAGGGATTCCGGAGCTCAACAAAGACTAGCAGATAGTATTTCACCTCCATATGTATTAAAAAATAAAACTTAAACAGTTCCTAACTTTGATTCCAGCCAACCAACTTCGCACGAAGTAAAAGGATGACCTCATTTCATCCAACGGAGATTCAGCAAGCGGGTTGTGGGTGACCTACGATAATATACAAGCTACATACTTTGAAATCAGCTACAAATACTATCAATGACTTATCCCCGATGTGAAAAACATATTCTAGTAAACCCTCACGATGATGTGTAAAAACATATCTGTTCAGTAGAACTTTCCACATCGATTCGTTTACCTTTCTTGCGAATTCTCGCGCAATATAAAGTATTGTAATGGTGCCAGGGGAAAACGCGACTTTTGAATACTGCCGAGCCCAGGTAGACAAGTGGATAAATCTTGTTCCTGTACGTAGCAATTTACTTCCCCTAACACGTTTTATAGTCCGAAACCATGTTCTGTGGTTTCTTAATGCCGAAAAACTGATTGCTGGGAAACTGTCCGTACGTTCGCTCATATCTCCGTCTAAACTAGCATCTAAATCTTCGAGACAATTTTCCCAAAATTAATATTCCCCCATCGATATAAACGAACTCGATGCCCGAAACATTTTCAAATTGTCTTCAAATGGCTCTAAATTATTTTATTAAACTTTGTCCTTCGCTAACGAAAACGAAACTCCTTAAAACTGGTACAGGTATCGTATTTGTTAAAAACATCGATTTTCGAAATTTTCATAATTTCATTTTCTTGAGACTTCTTCTTACAACTACAATATTGAAGATACGGACATATTTTCTTCATACAACCTATTGTTCAACGATAGTTCTTGACATAAGGTTGTGCACCATGTTTTCGCAAACCTTTGCGAAATATATATGCAGTTTGTAAACAATTATTTTCTCAAAAACGGTCCCAA